ATATCTATCTATCTATCTATCTATCTATCTATCTATCTTATTTAATAGGCTGCCACTAACTAAATTAAGAATTTTTATATCATATGATTGTTGCTCGACCCTAGGAAAATGACAGTATTCTACAACCAATTTTAGTCTTTTAGTCTCTTTACATCTATCTATCTATCTATCTATCTATCTATCTATCTATCTATCTATCGCAGTCTGTTTATATCCATCTATACTAGATGATCTATCTATCTATCTATATATCTATCTATAGTTATTGTAAAAATTCTCAGTATGAAAAGCCCGATGATGCCGCAATCATTTAATGTGAAATTTTCCACACCTCTGTTATTGCTTGTATAAGCACTCAGCTGCCAATTTCACCCAATCTTTGCCTGTCGACGGCAATCAGCCATTAAACAACTATCCTTTTTAATTCTTGATTGATACTGTTATGGGACCTTACTCATAATAACATAATGGACTATTCCATATGTAATAAATACTGCGCCTCAAGAGGAAGCAGGGAGTTCAGCCCGAAGTCGGGCGACCGGCTGACCGGCTGATCGGTTGAACTTTCTGCCTTCGGGCGGGGAGGAACCCGAACGAGGCTACGCCGAAGGGCGGAGTCTTTTTCGGGGAGGTAAACCGATCTGAACCCGTTTATATGGGTTCAAAGGGCATATTTTTGGCCAAGCCCACGGGCTCGGAGATCCCACGTTAAACTGGCCTTGTGCCACATGATGCCCTCGTCGGGGGTGACTAAATACCGTTCAGTCTGAAGTCTGGAGTGATGTCCGTCAGGAGTCCGTCAAGAGTCTGTCAGTCAGTCAGAGCGAGCGAGTCAGTCAGTCAGTCAGAGCGAGCGAGTCAGTCAGAGGCAGTCCGAAACAGAGTCGCGTTCAGACAATTACTGCAAGACATTGGAATAGTGATACTGGTCGAGAGTACATTGTTCTCTCTCCTAAACCTGATTGTTCGTACTAACACTTTCTACTTCTCTGTATATATTCCTGTTTGTAATATATCTGTGTTATTCCATATCCGTGTTCGAATTCTTCTTTATTGGTTCTACCTTGGACCATCACCGTGGTACAAGGAACCGGACCATAACAGATACAAAAAGAATCATTTTTCTATCAGACCCGGGTGATGCAATACATGCGACTGGACAACGAAAGAAATTATTGCTATACCCAAAACAGACTTGGATATTTGCATATTGTACCTATTCTATTAAATTTGCACTTCTTCCTCTCTTTGTTAGTTCGCCAGACCGTGTCAAATTGTTTGTCACAAAATATCATCTATTGACTCTGATTTTAAAATCTTTGTGAAAAGACGAGTTTTAATACATCTCAGTTTGAAAACTGATCTATCACCTAAAGCCAGAAACCCAACGCTGTCTGTCAATCATCAATCATCAATCGCCAAACTTCTCAATTCCTGTCGACAGTCGAATGAACACTTTTTTGATAAGCTATATTATAATTGTGCTTTTTCCGACCATCACGCCTTGCCAATATCTCATATAATAATAATGGATTACTCCATTTTGATCAAATGGAAAGAGGAAGAAAAACACTATTTGGTTTCAGTAAGAAAATGAATGAACGACAAAAGTGAAGATAGAAGTGTTTAACGATTATTTCATTGAAATGGAAAAGTTGTCAATTTCAAATCTTTTCATTTGTACCCACTTCTTATAATAATAACCTGTATTCATATTTATGATTGATATTGCAATATTTTGTTAAATTTGTTAAGACCAAATATTTAACGATGCGATATAAAAATTTCTACTGATATTTTATTGTCATACAACTCGCCATGAGCTTACTCAATCCCTAACTTAGGAATTAAGATTCATCAGTGTTGTATTGTCTAGGTTAATGATACACAAAGAAGAATCAGTGATTAATATATTTACTCAGCACGAGTATTCAGTGCTAACGGATACATATATACAAAAAATGCAGAACAATAAGTTACAAAACAATTAACAAGACAACTTACAAGGAATATAGGAGGGTCAAATGCTGTATAGCCAAACGAAGTAAGATCAGTCCGAGTATTAATCAGCTTAGTATCAGCTTATTAATCAAGTCCTTAATCGTAGACAATTAGAGGCTGTGAGTTAGGGCATTTTGTAGAGTGCTGAAAGGGTGCTAGCAATTCTACAACAATCAGCAAGTTCAGATAGGAAATCCGTGAAATATTCACGGGTTAAAACTAGTAGAGATATAATTTCTTAAGCTTGTCAGAACCACTGCCAACATGAAGCATGTGGCCGAAGATTTCCTGTTCTCGTTTCGACACCGGAGGGGACAGTGTTAGTCAGATATTCATGAGATTTCACTTAGAAATAAGGTCGTTTTTCCTGATTGACACAGGCTTCTCTTTCGCCCACGCGTCTTCGACATCTGGACGTTGTTAAGCAGTTCTTTCTACAAAGGCAAACTAGGACTATTATAAAAGTATTGTGACTAAGATTGATGCCCGGGGGAGACTCGTATTCTTTCCAAGCGTCTTATTTTATTTTATTTATTTAGGAAAACTGTGAAACATTCATGGGTGTTATGTAGTTTTAAATAAAGTTATTACTTGTGTTTTATGACTTAATTCTTAAATACAAATCGTTAGGACTCAGACAAACAGCTGTTTACTGAGGGAAACAAACTCGTATGAACAGAAGAGGAAAATCTTTTGGTTAGCAAAGAATTTAGAAAATTCTATTTGATTATTATAGGTATAGCTGGGCAATCGTATTCGAGAATATCCGTCTATTAGGGCGACTAGCACTCCCCTATTATTCAACACCCATAGAGCCAACCTGTGATTTATACTGTAACTATGCTGAGCAAGACTGTAGTTAGAGTTTCTGGGAAAGAGCGTATTATCTAGCGTGATCAACAAGGCCCTCGTTAGCTATCGACAGCCCCAAAGGTTCCGTCTACCCAATTTCACCCCCAAGCTTGGCCAACCCGTGGTATGGTTTTCAGTCCGATAAGAGTCCTGACAAATCGACCATGGCGAGACTCGAACGCAGGTCTCATTGGTCAGAATGCGAACGTTCTAATCACTCGGCCACGTGCCAACAACAACAAATAACTGAGATCACCAAGCTTAACGTCACCAGACGTTTTCTTGTGGGGTCTACTGAAAATATTTTGTCACACTGGCTCTAACCGAAGATAATTCGTGAATGAAAACAATTACTGATAAACTTTCTAAAATTAATGTAGAAATATGTCAAATGGTTTGTAAAAATGGCATTTCTTTATAAATATTAAAGAAAATATTGAAACTAATTACCATAGACCTGCGTTCGGGGTAGTTGCGATGAAAAGCTACTGAAATTAAGATGAAAGAAATGTCCGTTAAAAATCAATTATAACTGACAAGGCTTTATGCAATGAAAATGTTCCAGATAAGTTTCGGAAACGTTGTACTTCATTTCTGTTCTACTTTTGTTTGTTTCCCTTTTCAATCGTTCGCTGTTCCATCATCGAAGGAAACATTACAGAGTGGGGTATATGGCTGTACAATGTCAACCATGACGCGAGAAGCCTTCTTGTCAGAAACGTATGGACTTTGTATGAACGAATCAATTGTTGATAATTAAATGTCGAGTGAGTGATTAATTTCTGACTTTGTCCCTATCGATCAGTTAAGATTCATTAAGCTGTGGACAGAAAAAATCCTTTGTATGTTTGGCGTGTCATCAGAGAATCAGAGAATAGAAAGAGACTAGAGGGGATTACGGAACAACGACACGGGACGTACAGAAAAGGAGACATACGCTTTATATATATATATATATATATCCGTCTCATAAACACACACACATACACACACGCACACACAAACACACACACACATATATATATATATATATGCACGAAGTGCAGATGTTGAAAAGTACACGGCCCGACCAAGTCGCTCTTGCAAAATGAAATCTGATGTTTAGGCACATAGTGGGGTTTTGATAAGTCGGTCAGTTGGTCACATTTGAGAGTCTGTGCGTTTGTTTTCCCCTTCTATTTCTGACTCTCTGTTTTTCTCTCTCGCTCTGAATGCATACATAAACACACACACACGCACATACACGCACACACACACACACACACACATATATATATATAAAGCGATGTTAGTTCGTTAGGTTGTATATTACAGGAGATTTTCGTTTGTTGAAAGAAGGAAGGAAACAAATGGTGATCATGGGTAAAGAAGATGTAGAAGAAGAAGAAGAAGGAGGAGGAGGAGGAGGAGGAGGAGGAGGAGGAAGGGACGGAAGAAGACAAACAAGAAGAGAGGCTATGGAAACAGAAGTTTGCAGACGATAAACGAAATGAACGAAAAGAAAAGTAGATTTTAAAAAAATGTAAAACAACCGATTAAAAAGTAAAAAGAAAGAAGGGAAAAAAGTAAGAGGAAAAAAGGAACGATGAATAGAACGAAATGGATGAAGAAAAATAACCCACATGAAAGGAAAAGAAAAAAAAAAAGAGAAAGAAAATGAAAACGTTAAAATAAGACAAAGAGTATAGAATAATAATAATAATATTAATAGAAAAAGGAGAAGAAGCAGACTGATTACTGTTTTACGGTTTATCAACCCATCTAAAACCGAAACATATATTGTGTTTACAACAATAATTCTTGTTTGCGAAAAAATATTGTATTAATTTTTTTTCGGGAAAATATCAATGATTTTTACAGATAAACGCCCTATAACTGCAGAAGAAGAAGAAGAAGAAGAAAAAGAAGAAGAAGAAGAAGAAGCAGAAATTGCCATGTAAATACAGAAAAAGTATCAAAAGGAAAACGAAAAAGAAGAAAATATGAGAAAAGATCGAGAAGAATGGAATGGAAAAGAAAAAAAAAAGAAATGAAGAAGAAAAACGAAAATGAAGAGTAGAAAAAGAAATGAACAAAATTATAAACTTTAGCAAAAGAAGTTTGGTAAATATATCGGACCTAAAGAAGGGACATAAAAATATCACGGATTAGAGAAAAGAATGATAAGTGAGAAGAAAATTAAGAGAAAAAAAAGAAGACATTGAACGAGAAAAAGCCGTTAAAAACTCTGTAGAAAGACGAAGATGAAGAAGGAAAAAACAGAAGACAAATGAGGTGAAGGAAAAAGAAAAAAAAATGACAGAGTAGAAAACGGTCAAGTTGGAAAATGAAAAACTGTGAATAAAAAAAAAAAAAATAGAAAAACTGCAGGAAGAAATGAAAGCCGCAGACGCGTAAGGTAATATCTCTCCTCCTACAAATGACAGTCAATGCTGGTTAATTGGAGATGAGTCTTGAAGCGACAAAGATGTGATTATACAGAAGGTTATTTATGATACTATGGACGGATATGTGAGTGATTGGACATTTCAAGGGAACTGGGAACAAAACGGATGCTTGTACATAAAAAAGAGAAAAAAGACATTTCTAATACACAGAATAAGAAAAGTGAGCTTTGGTAATTAATTGGAAATATTGAAGGGAAGAGAGGCAGGGTGAAACAGCGGGTAAACTATTTAAGAAGCTGTGTAAATGGATAGCAGAATAGAGACTGAGAGGAATGGCGATAAGAAAAAAAGTTGCTTGGAAATAGAAAGGTGTGAAAACTATGGTGACCTGAAGAGAAGCTGTACAAAGAAGAAGGAGGAGGAGGAGGAGGAGGGGAGGGGAGGAGGGGGGGAGAAGGGGATGAGGAAGAGAAGAACAAGAATAGGAGGAGGATGAGGATGAAATGACAAAGACGAAGAAGAGGAGGAGGAGAAGGATTATAAGAAAAATGAAGCGGCAGCAGCAGCGGCACAATAATAATAATAATAATAATAATAATAATTAGAAGAAGAAGAAGGAGGAGAAGAAGAGGAGGAGGAGGAGAACAACAAGAAGAGGAGGATGAGGATGAAAAGACAGATGAAGAGGAGGAGGAGGAAGATTATGAGAAAAAACAAGCAGCAGCATCAGCGGCACAATAATAATAATAATTAGAAGAACAAAAAGAAGAAGACAAAGAAGAAGAATGAGAAGGAAGAGAAGAGGAGGAGGAGGAGGAGAACAAGAAGAAGAGGGGGATGATAATGAAAAGACAGACGAAGAAGAGGAGGAGGAGGAGAATTATAAGAAAAAAGAAGCAGCAGCAGCAGAGTCAGCAGCAGCGGCACAATAATAATAATAATAATAATAATAATAATTACAAGAAGAAGAAGTTAAAATTAAGTAAACGATGAAAGGAAAAAAAGAAGAAAGTAAATAAGCCAAGCGAAAAGATCTAGTAGGATAAAATGAGAAAAAAGAAGGAAAAGAAAAAGTACACGTACGAAAAGTAAATCAAGGCCAAACATATAGAAAAAAAGTAAATGAATGCAAAAAAAAATAACGTGGTTGATGCAGACAACTCGAATTGACCGAAAAGGTTGATTTATCAATGGTCATGATAAACATAAGTGCATTACAACTGGCAACTAACGACAATACTCCAGAGAATATTGTGTAGGAAGCCGTGAGAAAGTGGGACGATATTGAAAAGATGAGTGGGTCAAGATAAATCTGCCTGGCCACTGACCTTCACGAACGGTCAAACCAGTGGTGAAAGTGGTAAGTATTTTTCTATGCTTTACTATGCGGACAAATGTGCTCATCTTAGTTTTTTTTTTGTACTTACATCGTTTCGACTGTTTTCGCCTCAGGTCTTCTTCAGTACCCGGTAACGCTCTTTAATTTTCTTAATGCCATTAAAGACAAAAGGAGTTACTGAGTGTTAGAGAATATGAGAAAGAATATTAAGAGAGAACAACGAAAGAACAGGAATTAAGAAGACAGAAGATAACGATTGACATTGACTTTGAATTTTTGAAGATCAAAGTTGATTGGAAAGCAAGCTGCCGGAAGAGAGCTCCACAAGCGAGAAGTGCGAGAGAAGAATCTATTAGCATAGAACTTACGGTTATATCTAGCCATATCTACTTGTGCGCTTAAATTCATAAAGTCGAGGTACAATAGAGGAACTTTTACCGGAACAATTCCCATGAAAATATTGGTAGAAAAGGCATAAAGAAGCTACAATAGGGCAATGGGAAAATGGCTGAAGCCGAGATGCCAGGTCAGCACTAATAACATGGCAGAATCTTCTCTGTATTTTATTAAGATTCTGTAAGAAGTAACAGACCAGATGTAGCAGCAATATTCGAAACATGGACAAATTATAAATATATAAGATACATTTTGACGAGAATAATTGTCTAGCATGATACGCTGAGCCAACTTTCCTAGCAGCCGACCTAGCAAGATCTTCAATATAATCTTTCAATTTCATGTCAGAGGTAAACGTAATCTCGAGAATGCGTTATAAGTGACTCTCCTGGATGTTAGTATCAGCCATGCTGATGGAATGCAAAAAGTGTTTGTTTTGCAGGCCTTAAAATTAGCAAGTACTTACTTGCCCCAGTTAACAGTTAATTGTAGGCCATTTTTTAAATCAGCTGTCAATTTGACCTTATCGAAACAATCCTACTTCCTATTAAAACAGCATTAAATAGTTATGTCATCAGCATAGATACCGGGTTGATGACTGATGACATCAGGATGGTCATTGATGAAAATACAGAAATAATTTGTTTGATGGTACGAATTCGACGACTCTTCCAGTTGAAACTTGACTAATGCATGGAATAATAATACAACACAAAATGTACTTATAACAAAATGTATTGAAACAAGAAAGGTACACAATATTTACATATAGTCTTTTGTATATTCTTGGGAAGATCGTTCCTAGAGAATGTGTTGACTGAGTCGCAGTCGGGCAGAGTCTCTTGATTCCTCCCTCTCTTCCCGGTACCAACCATATTTATATGGTCGGTACTCCACTATGCAAATTAGGTGGATCCTACCACAACACTTCCCCATACAGAAACGTTGTCAAGAAAATTGATATATATATATATATATATATATATATATATATATATATATATGTATAGTTATATATATATATATATATATATATATATATATATATATATATATATATATATAATATGTACTTTATATAAGTACTTCATATATTATATAGATATATACGGACTTTTATATTTATATAGAAGAATTTAACCTTTGAAAACACATCGTGCCTATTCCATTGAGTATAATATAAATTTTGAAATGCTGTACTGGTTTTTGCCTATTCTTACTGCAAATTCTTTGTCCCTCTTCGTATCTCCCTACACCTGAAAGCCCAAATATATATATATATATATATATATATATATATATATATATATATATATATATATATATGTATATAACCGAATGGGTAAATATAGGTAGGTATGCCGTATAGTGTAAGCAAAACAATGCTTAATGTTAAGTAACAGAGCTATTTAATATAATGGACTCCCTCGTCGTTTTCAACTCAGTTTTTATGTTTATCTCTCGTATGAGACAACAATCTTGCGCGGGATTTGTAAACAAGTCCACGGGAGGGACATGCTGAAGGGTTGACAGTCATATGGTCTGTTGTGTTAGCCCGAGATTTAGTTTTGCTTCTTCATTCTCCCGGATGGTTGAGACAATTCTTTTCAACGTTTGTTTTTCCATGGTGCTAGGTGTTTCTCCAGTTTTCGGCTTTCAACAGCAACTTCGAACTTCTCTAATATATATATTAAGAACTATGTATATCTTACATTACATTAATTTAAGATTTTATATATATATATATATATCCGTCTACTAAAGCGGCTAGCGAATCACTTTTGCAGAATCTCGCTGAGGCATATTTAAGTTTGTTCATCACTCACAGAGCCGAACTGTGCTTTATACTGCAACTATGCTGATCAGAACATAGTTACAGTTTCTGCGAGATATCTTTTTATCTAGAATGATCAACAATGCCGGCGCACTCAAACCCTCGGTCACGATGGCTAATGACTTCGTGGTAACACACCTGTCGACGGCCCTAATTGTTCCGTCTATCCAGTTTTACTCAGTAAACCATGTTTTTCATGCATTTTCCAAAGGTGCCGCATGCAGTAAACGCCCCCCACTGCCAGACCGATAAGATCAGGAAGTCTCCATCCTGACAGATCAACCGTGATGAGATACGGCCCCGGGTCTCATGGTCAGAAAGCGAACGTCAAACCATATGGCCACGTGCCCATATAGCCGAGTAGCCAGCTATTATCATATATATATATATATATATATATATATATATATATATATATATATATATATATAATTCTCGTCATTACAAATGTCTGAGCGACGCCGACATTGGGATCAACTACGTGCAAATATTAAAGAATGTTGGCAGCATGCTGCTCTTCTCCATGACAGCTTTATGTCGTTTTGTTCCTTGCATTAAAGCAGGCCTTGCTGTCCCTTCGCGGAAATATGTGTCAATTGATCTTTAACCACTCGAGCAAAATGGCTCAAACGCATGTTCCATCTGGCTAAATGTTTTCAAAACACCTGCAGGCCTCGAGAGACATATGCCTATCCATAAAATTCGAGAACCGCTTTATTTTACTTGTCATCCGCGACGAGACAGTCCAACATATATATATATATATATATATATATATATATATATATATATATATGTGTGTGTGTGTGTGTGTGTCTGTTTGTGCGTTCGCAAATATATTGAAAAATAGGAAAGAAACGTTAGGTTAATAATCCGAAGTTCTTTAGTATTTTTGTTTTTATTTAAAAAAAAAAAAAAACAGTGCTCGATACACAAGTAGAGCCTAAATTATAATTATTTTCTTAAAAATATGATTCCATCGCTACATAGGAATTTCCATGTTTCAAAAAATAGAAGCTAAAAACTTCCAATTCAATTCTTATTTCTGTAATTGAATTGGGAGTTTTTAGCTTCTGTATTTGAAACATGGTAATTCCTATTTAGCGATGGAATCAATTTTTTTTAAAAATAATTATTATATATACATGTGTGTGTGTGTTTGTGTGTGTGCGTGCACGCGTGTGTGGGTGTGTCTATGTGTGTGTGTGTGTGTGGAAAGCAATAAGCCATTTTAATGTTATCGAATATTTACCTAGCTCGAATTATTTCAGTTGGTTTACATCTTTACTGCACACACAACATTGCTTCTTTTCCAATCAGCCTGTAACGTTCACTTTTAGGATGAATAGTCTTCAGCTGCTTCATTGCATTCTCCTTAATCTCGATGAGTTTCTGAATTATCTCCCTTTTCAATGACAATTTTATCTTGGGAAAAACTGCATGGACGTCATGATTGGTTTCCTAGCACTGGATAGTATTGTCAAAAACTAGCAGAAAGCCGAGCCTGTAGTGCAGCCTTCATAACCCTAGGCATATTTGTACCAAATACTGCAATGGACGTAATTCTGAATGTAAATATTACAAGGTAAAAATCTTTCTTTCCGATGTATCACTGTCGACTGGGCAACCCTATAAAAGATTATCGACGTATGCTCAGTAAGTTCGTTTCTGATTGGATTCCAATTACATCTTGTTTGCGAAAACACTTCTCGATATATTCAAAATGGCCGAAGAGACATGAAGAAAGAAATTTGAATTTAGGTTCAGGCCTATTCCAAGGAAATCTCACATCAACATGACCTGGATTTGAACTGGATTTGGTTTTCCATTTTCGAATTGATTCCATCATGAGCTTCAGGCCAAGTTCAACGAGACCACTCTAGAAATAATCAATCCCTCAGTGACAGCTTTCAGTATACTGTTCATCGGAGATATCTACGACGGATTTCGGACAGGACAATTCGAAGGATTTATTCCTCAGGGCAGTCATCGGCCTTTCATACACCGTTCAACCACTTGTCTTCAGAATGGTTTACGGTCTGCTAGTCAACAAACGAGATGGCGCCATTTGTTCAGTAGTAATAACTGGTCACTTGCACAGAGTATTGATTGTCCCAGGGGGGGTATCTTGAGCGGAATAAACAGCGTTCAATAAAATATTCACCGAATTTAACATCGATGAAAAACCTATTGTAGAATCAAACCAACTGGACGGAAGCATCGGAGGTTTAGAATAGAGAAGCATTCGTTTAAAACAGCCTATTTTGTAAGGTCGAAGAGGCGCCGGATTTCATGTTTTATCTATTTTGCAGTTATATTTCCAGGTTATATGACAAGAGAGTTGATTAATGGCAATTCTAATACTAATTCTAACCGTTTCTGATAAGGATAAAATTGTCATTGAGTCAGTGCTACCCGGGATCAGTTTTTGTTCGCGTACTGGGATCAAAGTGTAGTATCTGTTCTCATGATATCTTACCGTAATAGTAATATTAGCCGTTTCCTTCTAAGGAAATATTAGACTTTTATTGTCTATGCTAGTCGAGTCAGGCTTTTCTTCGCGCCCGGGCTCCTTTCTGGGATCAAAATGTCGTATTTGGGTGAACTACATTTCATCTCGCAATTGTGTCGCTGACTTCGAAGTGAGCGCAACTCGGTGGTACCTCTGTCTGCAGACAAAGCTCAACTGAAAATATCATTGAGCGGTGTCCCGTCAAGAGAAACAGTTGACCGTGGCCGTACCACTCTAATTGCACTAATCTGAGGACGAGTGGTAGTAATATCGATGCCAGCACGACCGACGGTTACGGGGATATAGACCTGGTCCAGGTGCACGTGCTCGGAAACCCTTCACATTAAACTGACCTTGTTTCACCTCCTGCCAGTGTGGGTCGGCAAGTAAATATTAAGTGTAGTATCTGTTCTCGTCATTTCTTATCGTAATATTGATATTAGTCGTTCCCCTATGTGGAAATATTCGGCTTTTACTGACCAATCAGCCAGTGTGCTACACGAGTCTCGATTTTTTACGCGCCCTGGCTATTTTCTGGGACCAAGGTGTAGTGTCTGCCTTCGGGATCATTGTATTTCCACTCTCAGTTGCGTTTCTGTCTTCAAGCAGATCACAGCAAATAACCCTGCTGCAGCAACTTCCATCGTTGCACCAAAGAGAAAGAGAGAGTCGATGGAATATCGACACCAGCACAAAATTGTCTGCGGGGATCGGGCCATATATGAACTCCATGTCAAAGCTTCCGACTTTAAATAAGTCTTATGCTACATCCCGTCACAGTGTAAGCGAGTAAATGCGAAGTATAGTATTTGTTCACCGCATATCTAACAGCTGCCCGTGGCCATACCACCCTAACAGAACTGCACTAACCTGGGAGGAGTGGTAGTAATATCGATGTCAGCACGACAGACGGTTGCGGGGGTATAGACCTGGTCCAGGGGCACATGCTCGGACATTAATATTAGTCATGTTCTTATATGGAATCATTCGGCATTTATTTATCTAGAAGCCGGTGCTACTCAAATAACACTCCTTGGTCACAGGGCTGGGATCAAACTGCAGTATCTGTTCTCCTCATAATTAACGGTAATGATAATATTAGTCATTTACCTCATATGGAAACTTTTGCTATTCATTGGCCGAACAGCTAGTGATGAGAGTTTCCTTCCTAACATTTTTTCCTTCCACTTCCCACGGGTTTCCGGTAACCTTTATATAAGGAATACACAAAAATTCGTTTTAGATGGACTCATCAACATTTAATGTGGGAAAATTTTTGTCATCATGTAGTTCTTAATGTCCACGTTGAATGAGAGAAAGCTGAAAACGGGGAAATAATGTACAATAAAGACGGTACAAGTACGTCGGGAAAATCTTTCACGGCGAAAGAGGAAAATGCGCATTGCACAAAAATCTGGAAGGACCAGAAATATTAAAGTTTTGAAATGAAGCAGTACTGGCCAAGTTTATCAGGGACCAAAGAGAATGACAAAATAGGAGCTTAATATATATGCTAGAAGGCTTAGATGATTTCGACATTAAAAAAAGGGACATGTTACATAGAAGAAAACAAGGACAAGAAGGAGAAGAAGAAGAAGAAAATGCAGCAGTAGAAGAAGAAGGAGGAGGAGAGAGAAAAAAGAAAAAGGAAGCAGAAGATGAGAAAGAAGAAGAAAAAGAAGGAAAAGGAGCAAAAGAAGAAGGACGAGAAGAAGAAGAAGAAGAAGAAGAAGAAGAAGAAGAAGAAGAAACAGTAGAAAAGGAGGAGAAAAAGGAGGAGAAAGAGAAGAAGACGAAAAAAAAAAGAAGGAAGAGGTAAAAAATAAGAAAAAAGGAGAAGAAAAAGAAGAAACAGGAAAAGAAGCCTAAGAAGGAGGAGTAGAAAAAGAAGGTGAAAAAGAAGAAGCAGAAGGAGAAAAAGAAGAAGATAGAGAAGAAGAGGAAAGAGAAGAAGTGGCTGAAGAACGAGAAAAAGAAATTTGTTTTGATGCGTAATTTTTCATCTAATTTTTACTTTTGCTATTTACTATATATTTAATTTGTGTGAATTTCTTAGATTAAATTATTTAATTAATCATTATTATTAATTTATTATTATCAATTCTTGACTAGAATGTCTTTCTTCCACATTTTAGTTGATTTCTATCAAAACTAAGATCGCCACTACGCAGAATCGATCAATATTTTCGAAGATGTTCACCAGAAGAGCGGATCGATGAGAAATCACTAACAGTCTACCTAAAAGCCGATGTATGCATCAGCGAAGAAGTGTTTGTCAGAATCGGCTGGAGAAAAAAAAAACAAAAAAAAAACAGCCTACTTCTGTATCGGCAGAAGAGGGGGGGACTGGTAAGACCTTGAGATCAAGTCTGATGCGTCCGTTGCAAACAAGGCCAGCTGCCAGCGAGTCGATTTTGTGCGCAGTCTAACAAATTTAAACGAGTAATTTCACGCTCCGTCAAACCATAGCTTGTACAACTTCGCTTCTTTTAGAACATTTGCCTTACCGAGTGTCTTATTTATTTATTTTGCTCTTTGCGATTTGCTTTTACAGTTGATTCACAAAACAATTTCCGCCTACGAATGATGTTCCTAATACGAGAGATTATGGTCTTTAGTCAGTTTATAAGGACTAATATCCGTATCACTGCCAGAGAATGCGCTTGTTTGTGGAATCAGCTTTTGTAGTATACAGTCTGGTTTAGAAGTTTCCATGCATATTATTTCAGCTTTTTCTTTTTTAATTGGGTAAACCTGAAAAGTGGTTTCTCCATGAGGAGCGCGTATAATTCAGGTGTAGGTAAACTACGGCCCCATTGACCCGCAGGAGCAAAACAAACATTAACTTTTAAATAAGGTAAGAAGTTATTTTGAATTAAAAAAAGATATTATTTTAAGTTTTATTTTCTTGGAAGTGATATGTTTTGTTAAAAAATCTACGTTTGTCGATAATCCCTTCTACCAACACGCATTTATCGCTGCTATAGGCACGTGGGATTAAGGAAAAATAAATCTCTATCTATAAAAGGCAGGATGTGTGTGTGTGTGTGTGTGTGTGTGTGTGTATGTAACGAATGCATCGCCGCAATTTCGGGACATGTTACATAGAAGAAAACAAGGACAAGAACAAGAAAGAGGAGAAGAAAATGCAGCAGTAGAAGGAGAAGGAGGAGGAGAGAGAAAAGATTTCATTTCATTTCGCAGCTCCCATCGATAGTGGATTTTTTTCATGCTTCTACGGCAGTTTTCATGTAGTTTGCGGCCATTTTCTACTGGCCAGACTGAGAGCCAATAGCTGGCTGCCAATAATAGGCAGGAAGATTCTATTGGCCAGCGTGAGAGCCAACAGCTGACTAACACGAATGTTAACTAGCATGCTAGCATGCCAATAAAATCGATAGCTGCATTCGTCACAAGTAGGAAAAAATTAAATCTACATGGCACTTTACTCCAATTGGCTCATTCGCTTGCTTAAACTCAACGTTGATTCGGATTCCGCAGAACTGGGTTTGGTGTGAAAAAGTATTTGTTGTTAACATCCTTTTTTCATTCGGTTTTTCCAGTTACGAGTCCTTTTTAAAGCTAATCGTTTTGTGTTCATTTTGTTTAGTTCTTTTTTCGTAACAGATTTAATGTTTAGTATAGAGCTTAGAAAAAATTCGCAGAGTGAGATAGGCAAGAAGTAAGGCATGTAGCAACATCAGCACGCAAAGGGCACTACTTTAAAGGCAAGGAAGGGAAAATATTTAAAGTCAAGTGATAGCGATTGCTTTATGAGTCGTACGATTTTTGAATCAAGCACGGGCAACGTCGGGCCATGCTGCTAGTTGAATATAAAATTTTATGTTTAAATACAAGTTTCTCGTTATCAGCTATGAAACCTTTTGGTACTTCCATGGAAACTGAACGGCGAGGAAAGATTTTTGTCTCTCACTATTAATCAGAATTTAATTTAAATTCAAAATAAATGATAAAACTTTATCTTATATGGCAGTAACTTTTTCTAATGACAAAAGTGCACAGGTGTAGGCTTTAATAAAGCTTTATTCAATTGAGAATACAAGATTCGCGTATAGTATCGTTTTATAGTCCCGGTAAACAGAAATAGCTCCCCCAAAGAGGAGAGTAAAAAAAAAACAAGGGGAGATCACTCTTGATTATTCAAAACACACGTTTTGTTAAATATTTACTTTCATCGATATGTCTCCCCTCTTTCACACATACACACAACTTTCATCATTGTTAGAGCCTAGGGAAAAACCATGAACTCAAAAAAGTCAAGTTAAGAAGTTACTTTGAATTAAAACAATAATAATATTTAGAACTTTAACTATGTTAAAACTTCATACATGTATATATGAAATCAATTATCGGATGGTCGGCGACTAAATTGTCGCCCCCATTTCAATTTCTTGTGAGTACGGTGGGGTCTTAGCAACCCTCTAAGATGAAAAATAAAACCTATATAAAAATGGAAGAATTCTTGCGAAGTCAACGGCCAACGAAATAGAGGTGGTGTCTCAATAAAATCACTGAGGTGAAGCTAAAAGGAAACCACTCCACTATTAATGGCAACAAAACTCATGACTTTTAACAATTATATTATAAAAGATAACGGTGTGAAATGGGTTAAATCAACTGGAATTAATTCCTCACCTGGTAAGGAAGGACATGCAAAACAAGTGCCACCTGACCGTCTTCCTGAAGAAAAATAGATTTTAGTATTTTGGGGGATTACAATTTTTTTAATCAATTCACCCAAGTAAAGCGACAATTCCATGAGGACACAAGGGCTACTGGGAGTTACACAAAGTAATCATCTATTTAAAACAAAAATAAAAACAACAAAGAAAAATAGCAATCATCTATTATCTGGAAATTCTTCTTCTTTCTATGCATCGGGCCCCTTCAGGACGTAGGCGATAATATCTCTCCACATTTTCCTATCGCTCTTAGTAAAGTTTTTTTTTCTCTCCTAATCGATGGTCTACTATTTGCACAAGCTCTACCTTGTGTGACTCTTGAGAAAAACACCAAAGCAAACGATAGCGGATACGTATGAACAATAACTCATTTTTAGGTTTGCATAATTCTCAGTGAGACGCCACTCAGTGCCATTGTCCTGTGTCCTGTGTCATGTGTGATCGTCCCAATAGCAGTGACAATGTGTCATTCAGTGTTTTCTTGGATGTTATAAGTTGCTAAGAAGCACGGGAAAATTTTTTAAAAAATAAACATTGATCAATTCATAAAAAAAGATAAATTCCTAAAGAAACCTACACTTCCATGAGAAGGAATAAAAATACTCAACCAAAAATGCAGTTAAAATCTTACAAATTGGAATTTGAAACACAAGCGTTAAACATTAAAAAAAACACATAGGGGAAAAAACTCTACATGACCAATATGCATCTCAGAAGTAACAATGCGATGTACATAAATAAGTCATCAGTGGATGAAAAGTGCTGGACCAAAAGCAGAGACAGAGGCATTTATATTGGCAGCAAAGATTATTCGTCAGGCAAACATAAAAATAGTGCAAAGTCTGTACAAAACAAAAATTATGTGAACCTATTGTAACTATTGACCACTTAGTGTCTGGTTGTCCAATCCTGACACTCAAGTAATACAAAGATCGATATGATAAAATTGGATAGTCTATTCATTCACAGATATATCAATAATACAATGTGCCATATGCTATGGTATGATCATCACTTTGAACCATTAATCATATGCCACGAAATCAGTATTCATTTGAACTTAGGCCAGATATAGTAATTAAAAACAAAGAACAAAAATACTCTCTGTTAAAGAATATAACTCAGTAAATATCAGGACCTTGAAATTCAAAAAAATATGTGGTACCTTAAAATAAGTGCTGTATCTATAAAAATTAGTAACGGAAGTGCAATCACAAATAATAAGTCATTAACATTAAAAGGATCTGTGATCTCTTGTTTGTAAGAGATTAAAAAATGCATTTTGTGTAAATGCACCTCGATTCAGAAGTGTATAATGAATGCAACGAACATACAAGTACTGCACGTGTATACTTTAACACAAAAATTTGTGCAAACAACGCATAGATTTCATTCTGAATTTCTGAGATGAGCAGTTATCATTATTTACATGCGAGCTTTTCCCTCAGCGGATTGTTACACCTTTATAGACTTTGCCACAACTGTAATGAGTTTAAAGTCGCATTAAGTTGAAACACCGCTTGCCGTACGATCACTGAAGTTAAGCAACCTCCAGCCTAGTCAATATATAGGTGACCACATAGAAAAATCAGTAATTTGAATGTGAGGGTGGTGTGACGGATAATGGCTTGGGATTGTTAATCGGAGAGCCGAGGTCTAATTCCAATAGGGTTCGTTATATTCACTTACGCGCAAATACCGTTGGGAAAGATATGAATCCACCTTTTCCCCATCCCAGTTATAGGTTAATTAGTAAGACTATAGGATTAGTAATTAGTAAGACTAAAGGACTAATGTATCACTAAAGGATTATTATCATTAAAAATATTCTTGCAATCTAAAATTATTTTCTGACTTTAAATAACCTGCAAAGGGTTGATAAGCCGTAGAAAATGAATGAACGGATCAATCAAATTCTTCCTGTTAATTCATTCCTTAGTTAATTAGAACGTACGTCACACGCTGTCATTGCCTCAGATAAACCATTGTTTGATTGCAAGTATAGACGGAAGTAACGATGTAACAAAGGCGCTGATTGCTTTCAGCGAACGGAAGGTAAAAGAAAAAAAGAAAGAAAGAAAGAGAGAGAAAGAGAGAGAGAGAAGATAGCGGAGTTGATTACGCTCTCATATGTTTAATGTCTGCGTCAGTGAAATGGAAAACCTTGTCAGTTTCAAATCTTTTCATTTGTAACTTCTAACTAATTTAAATAATAACCTACTTTCTTAAGGTAATTATTGCAATATTTTGTTAAATTTGTTAAGGTCAAATGTTTAACGATGGCGTAGGGGAATTTCCACAGGTATTTTATAGTTGTAGAACACGCAAACAGCTTATTCATTCCTTAACTTAAGAATTATGATGTATCGAAAAATTAAAGTAACAAAATTGTAAATTATTCAACGAGCATCGAACGTGCCTGAATAGAGCTTTTAGTTCTGCCCACGCTGTTAACAGAGAAGACTGTCGCCAATTCCATTTTAAAATGTTGATAAAGTTATTGAGTGTCTGAAGTAGATGAGATTTGATTTTCTTCTTTGAACAAATTGTAAAAA